CATCAGGTTCTCCATTTACTTCTGCCCCCTTTCCCTTTCCTCGTGACCGACTGAAAGAAGGTTTCATTTTTATTTTTGGTAACTTTATCTTCAGGTCTGGTCCTTCAATTTCTAAACTTCTATCTACATCAGATGTAGTTTTATCCTTTACTCTTCCAAGAGAGAAAGTCTTTTTGGCCTTCTTTCCCTCATGATCTTCTGCGTGGCCTGAACTTTTCAAAGTTATGTCAGCGTCATTCATATTTGACTTTAGTTTGGGAGCAGAAAGTTCAATATCTGCAGTCACAGATTTTGGTAAACTGACTGCAACCTTGGGGAGTTTCACCTTGAGTTTCTTTTCAGAATCATTTTCTGTGGTGCCATGGTGTTTGTGTTCCTCCTTGGTTTTACTGCTCTTCTTTAAATAATCACTGCCTTCTGTGTTCAGTTTTGTACTATCCACTTCATATTCACCATGTGCCTTGATCTTTGGAGCAGAAAGTTCCACATGTGGCATCTTAAGGAAAGACTTTTTTGTCTCTGACTCCTCATCAAGTGACATCTCCATTTCATCATCTCCCTTCCTTCCTGGTAATCCAATTGTTGGCATCTTGATTTTTGGCATTTTCACTCCAAAATCTATTTCTAAATTTTCAATGCTTGATGATGTGGTGCTTTTGATTTTATCCATAGTACTGGCTTGACCACCTGCTGAAGACACCAATGCCTCACCATCACTTCCTGAAAATCCAACATCAGGCAAAGAGATTTTTGGCATTTTAAACTTTGTACCTTCCTCAGATCGTTGCAGTGGCTCAGTAGCAGCATCTGCACTGTCCTTGGTAATTCCAATTGAAGGCATCTTGATTTTGAACAGTCGCCCATTTTCAGAATCTTCATGTTCTGAGGATTTTACATCACCTTTCACATACACTTTATGATCACCTTCTTTCTCGACTTCGCCTTTTCCTTTAAGAGATCCTACTTGAAGCTTAGGCATTTTGATTTTAAAGCCCAAAATCCCAGAATCAGAACCTTCCTCTTGTTTGGAAGCCTTAGCATCTATTTTGACCGTGTCTTCCTGTACTCCAGCACTGGGACTTCCAAATTTAGGTAACTTTATTTTTGGCATCTTGATTTTTAGCTCATGTTGTTCCCCTTCAGAAATGTCTAAATCTGCTTTTGGTGTCTTTGATGTGTCTCCAAATTTTAAATCATCTTTGCTTAGGCTAACATCTAGCTCAAGTTCTGGAGCCCTTATTTTGGGAGTAGACATTTTTGGTAACTCTACAGACGGCAAAGTGAATGCGGCTTCAGTAGATCTTGTTTCAGCACTTGAACCATGCATTTTTAGTTCACTCTCAATAAATGGTATGTCTTCCTCATCTAATTTGACTTTGGGAAATGAAATGTCCACATGTGGCATTTTAATTTTGGACCCTTTTGTGCTGCTGTCTTCTTTGGCTTCTGGCTCTCCAAACTTTGGCAGTTCAAACTTTGGCATTGTCAATTTTGCAGCTGACTTTTCCAGGCTAAGACTAGTTTTATGTTCTAAAGTAGTGTCCACCGTTGCTTTGGGTAATCCAATGTCCAATTCTACATCTGGCAAAGAGACATCAATGGATGGTATTTTGGGTATTTTTAAATCACCTTCATATCTTTTGATATCTGCATCGGAAACATCCACTTCTGCTTTAGGTAAAGAGGCACAAATATCTGGTTTAACACATGGGACAGAAATTTGCAAAGCGGGAACATCTGGTGGAGTGGAAATCTCCAGAGAGGGAATCTTCACCATTTCACTGAGCTGAACCTCAAGGCTTTCCAGTCTCTCTGATATCTTTGCCTCTGTTTTTGGAAGAGTAGCTTCAGCTGCTTGATCACCCTTTATGCCAAAAGAAGGCAATGTAACTTGGGGTACTTTCACATGAACATCTGGCAGGTGAATGTCTTCTTTTGAACCTTTTAGCGTAACATCAGCTTTGGGTGCCTGCACTTTTGGAGGGGACATTTTAAACATAGGCATTTTAATAAAAGCCATTTTCCCATTATCGTCTTTTATAACTTTTGTTTCTTGTGTAACTATTTTTGCTTTTTTTGTTTTATCATCGGGAGTTTTGATCTCCAATTTTGCTTCAGTGACATCAGCATCTTTCTTTGATATTCCAAATGAAGGCATCTTTATTGCTGGCATTTTCAATTTAACTTCTTTGCTTTTTCCTTTGGTCTCAGTGCTACCTTCACCAAGTTCAGTTGAAACCTCAACAGTCTTTGTTTTTTTAGATGGAAAGACTGAAAATTTTACTTTTTCTGATTCTGTATCTTCATCAGTTCCTTTGCCCTTCCCAAATTTTGGCAAAGAAAATTTGGGAAGGCTCAGCTTTGCATCTGGAATGTCAATATTTATTTCTGGTGGTTTGTTCAAGATTTGAGATTCTTCACATTTTGGAACTGCAATATCTACCTCCAACTTTGGAGCAGAGATGTCCATAGTGGGTAGTTCAACTGATGGAAGCTTCACTTTCCCATCAGTGGATAATTCTACTTGTCCATCAAAGGACTCCAACTTTCCTTTACTAGCCTTTATGTCTCCTTCACCCTCAACATCCAGTTTTGTTTTTGGGAACACCATTCCAAATTTAGGCATTTTCAACTTTGGTCCTTTGACTGCAACCTCTGTATCTTTTTCTGTGTGCCTTGTTTTTATGTCTACCTCACCACCTTTTTTCACTTTAGGGCCTGAAATGCCAAGTTTCCGAAGAGAAAATTTTGGACCTTTCCATTTAGCTTCAGCTTCACTGGAAATATCTAACCCTGACAGCTCCGTGGCAACTTTTGATACACCTGCATCAATGTCTACATCAGGAATGTTGGGCGTAGTGATTTCAACAGAAGGAAGTTTGACTGATGGCAACTTAATTTTAGCTCCTATTTCTTCTTTATCAGGCTTTTCCAGTTTTACTTTAGGGAGCTTGACATCAACTTTTTCCTTGAGCTCCTTGACTTCTAGTTCAGACACTTTGCCTAATCCAATCTCAACTTTTGGTAAGCTAATTTTTTCACCTTTATCTTCTACATCCAGTCCAGGAACCTTTGTGTATGCAGTAATATGTGATAAAGACAAATCACCTGTGATCTTTGGAACATCAAGTTCTACAGCCATATCTTTGGCTACTTCACTCAGTTTAGGGAGGTTTAGTTTGGGCATTTGGAATTTAGCCTCAGTTTCACTAGCTAGTTCAAGCTCATCAGTTTTCATTTTTGGCAGGTTTAAGTCAAACTGAAGACTTGGGGTATCTATCTCAAGAGAAGGCATTTTAATAGAGGGAAGACCAATTCTTGAGTCTCCCATTTTCCCATCAAATGCTATTGCATCAGACTCCACTTTTGGGAGCTTCAGTGCTAATTTTGGCTTTTCCACCGAAATGCTGTCATCAGATTTAGATAATGTTATGCCAAGTTCAGCAGGTTTAATCTTGGGAATAGAAATATCCAATTCAGGGATGATTTGTTTTTCTTTCACAGTCACATCGCCTTTTAATTTTGAATCACTGCTTGGAATGTGGATTCCCACTTTTGGAGGAGATGCATCAGGTTTAGTAAGCTTTGGTGAGATATCTAACTTAGGTAGGGAGACTTTGGGCATCTTTAGCTTCAGGTCTGGGCCTTCCAGCTCAGGTGCCTTAATATCTACCTTAGCTGTGGGAGCTGTAACTTCCAGCTTACTTGGCTCAGTGACTTGGACTTGTGGTAATGAAATGTCAATAGATGGCAACTTAACAGAGGGAAATTTTAGTTTCCCTTCCACTTCTGTAGATGGTTTTTCTGGAACATCTGTCTCTGATTTTTCCTTGGATGACAACTTTCCAAAACTGGGCAACTTTATTTTAGGCCCTTTCAATTTAAACTCTTCCTCTTCGCCTTTCTTGGCTGCCTCCTCAGCCGGGACCTCCTGCTTATCACCTTTTAAACCCATTTTAGGTAGGCTAAATTTTGGCATTTGAAGTGTCACATCAGGAATTTCAACTGTGCCCCCTACTTCAGATCTTTCCGTCTTCACATCACCTATTTGGGCTCTTGCCGCATAAGCATCTTTAACTTTCATGCGTACTCCAGGGGGGCTTATTTTTGGCATTTTTAATGTCACATCCGGAATTTTCTACTTGCTCAACAATGTCTCCTGTTTCCAGCTTGGGGACAGTTACATCAACATCCACTTTTGGAACAGATATTTCAAGAGATGGCAATTTTATGGCACTTTTGCGTTGACCATCAGGACTATCGCCTTCCACTTTACCTTTAGGTATAGAAATACCAATATGTGGTGTTTTTATAGATGGCATTTTTAGCTTATCATCAAAAAATGTCACCTCTATATCTTTTTTAATTTCTGGTGGTGTTGCTTTCAAAGCAGTTTCTGGAGTTTTGCTAGACATGCTAAATTTTGGCAGTTTTATTTGAAAACCATGGCTAGTGCTTTCAGGAGGCTCAACTTCTACAGCGCCTTCAACTTTTGGCAGACTCAGATCTACATCCACTTTTGGTGCTGCTATTTCAATTGAGGGTAATGTGATTTCTGTTTTAGACCTTCCATCAACCTGCATAGCAATATCTGCCTCTTTTTCTATATGAGGTGTACAAATACCAACTTTTGGCAGTTGAGGAATGCTGAATTTAGCTTCTGGAGCTTCAAATTCAACACTAGCTGTTGGCATCATAATTTCAACATCTGGAATTTTAACAGCAGTGCTCAGCCCGGGTACTTTAACCTTTTCAGGAATATCTGGTGCTTCAGTTTTTATAGCTGGAAAAGGTATGTCAAGTTCTACTTGAGGTGCCTTAAAAATTGTTTCTTCCTTGGTTTCAATTGCAGCCTTTGGCATAGACACGTCAACATCTATTTTAGTTTTTTTCATTTTTGGAACAGAAATACCAAATATAGCTGAAGATTTTTCTTTGACCTCACCCTCAGCTCTGGCTTTTGCTTTGGGTTCATCTACAGAAACTTTTCCAGCAGTATCCTTGACCCTAAATCGTGGGAATTTTATCTTTAGCCCTTTCTGTTCTTCTGCTGTGGAAACCTCTGTAGTCTTGGGGACAGCTTCACCTTCTACACCACCTTTTGTTTTCAATAGTTTGGAGAATTTGGGGAAGGAGAACTCAACATCTACTGGTGGAATGTCCATATTGGCAACAGACAGTTCAGAGCCTTTCATAGCCTCCACTGAAACGTCAGAATCCTTCCCTTGACTTGGCACCTTCTTTTTTTTCTTCTTCACAGGTGTAAGGCTTTTCACAGACTGGAAAAAAAAACAGCACATTGCTTAACATACATTTAAGATTTTAGTTCCAACATTTTACAGCAGTTTGTATAATTCATGTATCAAGGAGATAACTTTCTTTGTTTTGCTTATTGATGTTGTATCACTTTTTCACAGTTTTAATATACCTGATCATCTAAATGTAAAGGTAAATAATAATGGTATTGGGTCAATTTTATTTGCTTCTCTTAAAGCAAATCTGTGTTTTGCTTAATCATGCTTTCTTTATTCCCTCACCCTCCCCAGCATATTCTTACCTTTCCTTAGCTCTTCTGTCTCTCCATTCAATGCCTGGAGATAAAGGAAATACCTGGTACCCGTGGCTATGGAGAAGTATGTAAATCACTATATGTGACAGCGCTTGACCAATGCTTTTTGTGACGTGGTGAGCCCATAGCCCTGTGTAAGCTACAACTTCTGAAACTGGTAGCTTCTAGGTGCTTTATAGAGCAGAAAGGGGAGTGAGTGGAAGGCAAGTATATACTGCTGACAAAGGGTAAATTATAGTGACTGTTGTTTTTCCTACCCAGGTTCCTGTTATATTTAGAATGTTTGATATAATTATATAATTATTGTAATATATGAAAATTATTGATGTTTTATAATATTTATATAACTTCTTTACTTTACAGATACTGTAAACATTAGTACAAGATGCACCCATATGGCTATGTAGAAAATTCAGGGTTTTCTATAAAGAGAGCTTAGTAGTAGCTTCCCTGTTGTATTTACCTTTTGAATATTAATACTCTATATGGAGATGTACAAAACAGAGATGGACGGGTAGGGAGGGAGATGGCTCCCCCAACTCACTCACCTGAGCTTCAGCTGTCTACCTCTGTAAACAGCAATCATTTCTTAAGATAAGCAAATATTAAATATTGCCTGCTTAACATGTGAAAAGGAACCGAGATTACCACCTGCTAGCTGGACAGTGACATAACTATAGACATAGTCTAGGCCCTATGGTTGGAAAGAAGGACCCACTGGGGAGTTTTTCTGATGTTTCTATTCCACAAGAACTAACCTCAGATACACAGGAACCTGCTTGGGGATCATGCTGTTGCTAGTCACCGACTTCCTATGCATCCCTCCTATCTGTGAGTAGATTTTTGTGCCTTCAGAGCTTCTGGTCTTCCTGGCCAACACTTTGATTTTAAAGTGGAAGTCTGGTCAAAAGCTCACTTATCCTAAATCTGCTCCTACTCCAATTCTAAGCCCTAAACTAACTACTCTGTAAAGTAAAGATGGGCATACTTACCTAATCCAAGGGCGATCTAGTCTGGCCACGTCAGTGGCTGGCTTCAGAGGAGGAGAGAGCAGCAACAATGGTTGCAGTGTGACATTACCCATAAATTATTATGGGGCATTGGTTGTCCTCTGTCCCTCCTTTCCCCCTGAAGCCCCAGTTACATGACCAGACCAGAGTGTCCTTAGATTAGGTAAGTATACACATCTTTCCTTAACAGGGTAGTTATTATAGGGCTTAGAATTTTGACTGGACTTCTACTTTAACCCTGTAAGTTTGTCTAAAAAGCCAAAATCAGCTTACAAAGTGAAGCTAGACAACAGATACTGTATCTCCACAAGCATCCTAAACAACTGTGAAGTTTAAGCAGTATACAAAACCCGCTCCACTCCATCCAATAAAGAAAAACAATCCATTCTGAGTGGTGTTGTCTGCTTCCAATATCTGTACCTCTATAAGTCCTATTTTTTCCAACATACCATTTTTGGCATCTTGGCCTTTGGACCTTTGACCTCTACAGTCCCAGATTCTGATGACACCGTGACATCACTAGACGGCACTGTTCTTTTGAGGCAATAGGAGACTTTGTAATGTTCTGCATACTGTAGGATTTTCAATGCGTCTTCATACTTAATGTTCTCAAAGTATACTCGTGCACTGATGATCTGGTCCCCTGTGACATTGTGAAGGAGAAAGTAGGAAGAATTAGCACACACTCAACAATTGTGCTATACAAAATAGCATGCTCTGGTCCCAGTTCCTTATCAGACTTTTGTGTGTCCTGTACAAAAGGCCTGCTACAGATATTTGAATAAAGAAGGTAGCAATACCATATCATAAGATTGCTACCAGTCTCATCCCAGATGGGACGATAATTTCACCCCATTAGATCATTTACCTTCTTGCAGAGGCAGATTTTTGGCAGCTGGGGAGTCTTTGAGGACATCTGAAATGAACAGTCCATCCCTTCCTCCTCCAGAGATGCTGATGCCACTCATTCCAGCTTGAGCCTCAGTTTCTACTATCACCTCCACCATCTCGGAGGCTCTCAACTTCTCCTGGTATGAAAAATATGACATAATTGTTAAACCCAGATCAGTATGATAAAAGTAAATACTTGTTCTTTCTAATTCCTCGCACACACGATGAGAATATTGGGTGAATGGTCTTCAGGTTTTTTTTGCATGCTAGTCTCATATCGAAAATGAAGAGGTTGTTAAAGTTACAAAAATTCTCGTATGACAGAATACAACTTCGGAAGTGATGTGATATACTGTATTGTAACGTATTCTTTAGTTTCCGAGCATGTGCAGTCTTGGTCTGTCGATTTTTTTCGGATGAATACTGTAGTCATTAAACAAAAATTGTTTGTTCTGGTATCATACAAGAAAAATTTTCGTTCTTGTCCCTTCGGATATTTTCACATGAACTGTCATGATCGGCTCTCGAAAGCTGTGTACTAATGACTAGATTATCAAACGATCACTCCTAAAATGGTCATTTTTGTCTATTTTCTCATCATGTGTACTAGACTTGAGACTGGTCATGAACATCCTTGATCAATACTCAACTTAGCTAATTTCAGTAAGATCAGGTAAGAATCATTTCCTGCTTACCAATGCTTTTCCAACCTACAATGCCTATCAAGACTGACGCTTATGGACAATTATTCTGTCGGATCAATAATGTGATCATGAACTGATTGAAAATGCTATGCGTTTTAAGATCTGAATTACAATATCCTATTATTAAAAGGAAATTATAATGTATTTTTCTGGTCAACAGAGTTCCTGAATGCAAATGAGTTTCCAAAGCATGCTTGCTGGCAACCTGTGTGCAATTATTTATTTAATAAAGTCCTATCTGTGTTTCGAGGGGGGGGGGGGGGGGTCTGTCTTTTCTCTGACTCATTCAGCTGTCTGTGGATTCTGATCTCCCCGTTGAACAAAACAATGTTAGCAGTGATCATATATATGAATAAAGAAAATATACAATATATATAAAAATATGCTTTTCCTCCCACCTCTGTGATGTTGACCTTCGTCTCCATCGTTGGTTCTTCTGTCTCTGCTGAGTTTCTTTGTCCTTTCAGTAGTAAAACTTTCTTTAGCTCCTCATGCAGCTTTTCTTTCTGTGCCTAAAAACACGATCAGAATCAATAGTTTAGTTTACCAATCATTTCACTGTATTACTGAACGGAAGAACATCAGGGAAGAAATGAACACAGTTCAAGCTATGTTGTCTCACTTGAGGTTGGTTGGTATTGTTTGTAGCACCAGCTCAACATAAGACAGAAAAACTAGTTAAAGTGGTTGTAAAATAGGTCAACCTGTAAGGAAAAGGATACTTACTTGTTCTGCTACCTCTAACGCCAATCTTTCACTGACCCCCTACACTACTTATGTGTCCCGTAGTGACGTAGAAGAAGGTAGAAGGAACCACCAAACAGAAAGGCACCCCACACTCCTAAAAGTGTTGGATGCAACAGATTGCTCTGCAAGCTTAGCTCTTCAAGGGAGTAAAGACTGGCGGCATGGTTGGCAAGATAGGTAGTTATTAATTATTTTCTTTGCAGACAGCACTTTTTAAACATTTTTTACCTTATAAATAGGTGCTTTAAAATTCTACCTATGAGAAATCACCCCAAGATGACTGTTTGTTAGCCAGAAAAGCCTATTTTAACTTTGTCATTGATACTTGCAGGGCTTCTTTTCAGCAGGAGCCCAAGTGAAAGCAATGCTGGCACTTCCAGCACCTCCATCGCTGAACGTTTGCAATGGCAAGAAAGCTGGTATGTGCTGGAGGGACTGTTAATGCTGGATGCTGGGGCATCTATTGTCACTGGGGGGATCTATTATTTCTGGTGGTCAGTTGTTGCTGGGAGGGATCTACGTTTGAGGTAGGGGGTCTATTGTTGCTGGCTACTGGAGAGTCTATTGATGCTGGCTGCTGGGAGATCTATTGCTGCTGGTGGGGATCTGTTGTTGCTGGATGGGGTATTTTGTTGCAGAGGGTTACTGTTGCTGGGGGGTGTCTATTGTTACTGGGGGGATCTGCTGTTGCATGGGGTATATTCTTGCTGGCAGCAGGCGATCTTTTTTTTTAACAAATGCCATAAAATTTACTTGGCGCCACAAAATTATATTGGGATCTGTATTCTTTAAAAGGGGTGGAACTGAAAGGTGGATAGGGGAGTCAAACCAAGTGACAGTGCTTGGAGGTTGGTAGGGGGCAGAAACCAGGGGTGATTTTGAAGATGCGAGTACCTGCAGATATTGTCTGAAAAAAAAATAAAGCCCTGGATACCCGACATTCCATAACTTCATAGCTAAGCCCAACCATCATCCTTCTGACCAATGAGATTGTCTCAATATCCAATATCCTCACAAATGGTTTTGACGGGAAACATCAGGAGTTTGACTCACAGGAAAAACGTCTTATGTTGATGTTACACATACAGTGGGGATCGAAAGTTTGGGCACCCCAGCTAAAAATTTGTATTAATGTGCATAAAGAAGCCAAGGAAAGATGGAAAAATCTCCAAAAGGCATCAAATTACAGATTAGACATTCTTATAATATGTCAACAAAAGTTAGATTTTATTTCCATCATTTACACTTTCAAAATAACAGAAAACAAAAAAATGGCATCTGCAAAAGTTTGGGCACCCTGCAGAGTTAATATCTTGTACTGCCCCCTTTGGCAAGTATCACAGCTTGTAAATGCTTTTTGTAGCCAGCCAAGAGTCTTTCAATTCTTGTTTGAGGTATCTTTGCCCATTCTTCCTTACAAAAGTCTTCCAGTTCTTTGAGATCTCTGGGCTGTCTGTCACGCACTGCTCTTTTAAGGTCTATCCATAGATTTTCAATTATGTTGAGGTCAGGAGATTGTGAAGGCCATGGCAAAACCTTCAGTTTACGCCTCTTGATGTAATCCCCCGTGGATTTCGAGGTGTGTTTAGGATCATTATCCATTTGTAAAAGCCATCCTCTCTTTAACTTCAGCTTTTTCGCAGATGGCATCAAGTTACTATCCAAAATTTGCTGAAATTTTATTGAATCCATTTTTCCTTCTACTCTTGAGATGTTCCCTGTGCCACTGGCTGCAACACAACCCCAAAGCATGATTGATCCAACCCCATGCTTAACAGTTGGACAGAGGTTCTTCTCATTAAATTCTGTGCCCCTTCTTCTCCAAACGTACCTTTGCTCATTCCGGCCAAAAAGTTCAATTTTAACCTCATCAGTCCACAGAACTTGTTTCAAAAATGCATCAGGCTTGTCTATATGTTCATTTGCAAAGTTCAAACGATGATTTTTGTGGTGAGGACGTAGAAGAGGTTTTCTTCTGATGACTCTTCCATGAAGACCATATTTGTACAAGTATCTCTTTATAGTGGAATAGTGTACCACAACTCCAGTGTCTGCCAGATCTTTCTGGAGGGATCGTGCAGTCAAACGTGAGTTTTGAATTGTTTTTCTCACAATCCTGCGAGCTGTTCTGTCTGATATTTTTCTTGGTCTTCCAGATGTTGCTTTAACTTCCACTGTTCCTGATGACTGCCATTTCTTAGTTACATTCCCGAACAGAGGATATTGACATCTGAAAATGCTTTGCTATCTTCTTATAGCCTTCTCCAGCTTTGTGAGCGTCAACTATTTTCAGTTTAAGTTTTCTAGACAACTGCTTAGAAGAACCCATGGTGCTGATTGTTGGGGCAAGGTCAGATGAGTCTGGGCATTTAAAACCTTTGAGATTGACATCACCTGGTCTGCCCAGACGATGATTGAGAACAATCCATGACACTGGCAGATCTCAGCTTTGCAAAGGGGGCAGTACATGCTATAAATTCTGCAGGGTGCCCAAACTTTTGCAGACGCCATTTTTTTGTTTTCTGTTATTTTGAAAGTGTAAATGATGGAAATAAAATCTAACTTTTGCTGACATATTATAAGAATGTCTAATCTGTAATTTGATGCCTTTTGGAGATTTTTCCATCTTTCCTTGGCTTCTTTATGCACATTAATACAAATTTTTAGCTGGGGTGCCCAAACTTTCGATTCCCACTGTAAGATAACCCTGCCCCATTTCCTCACTTTGCTGCATCTTCTAACTACTACAGAACATCATTTAGTAAAGCGGTTTTACATTTGGCTAGCTATGAAGCTGGGCTCCAACAAAAGAACATCCTTTTGTGATTTTCATGTTTACATAGCATATTTACATAGTCAGTAGCTACTATAATGAGTTCACTTTCCCAAAGTTGAACTATGGACAGTAAAATACATATATATGTTACAGGATTATTAGTGATCTGAGTGCGAAGTATGACAAAGATGCAGCTGCACTATCTGTATCAAAGGTGAGAGGACAAACACATGTTGCTCACTTGCTCATTCTAGGTTTAATGTGAGCTTGTGTGACAGGGTGAGACCCTGTCACTGTGAGAAGATAGGAAGATGTCATGCAGAATTCGCATTTATGGTGAAGGTGACCTTCCAGACTAGTGTCTTTCAGCTGTGGATTTGGCTTTCTCTGGATTCTGCAGCTCTGGATCGGAACATTCAATCCTGTGTTCGTGTTTTGCTGAACACCTGCAATCTGGAGTACACAGGTGTGCAGTGTCGTTATATACTCAGTTCTGAGAAAAGCTCAGGGTTCCCAGCTGGAGACCGCTTCCAGTGTAGGAGACAGAAGGTCTCATCAAGGGGTTAGAAGACCCAGCCAGAAGTCAAGAGACAGAAGTCTCAGTTCCATGAGTCAGGTTGGCTCCTAACGTGGTGTCAGGAGAACCACCATCCATAGGCTAGAGGTGGGCCTTACAGCAGGGCACTGTGTCTAAAGGTTAGAGAGCCAGGTATCCAGGAGAGGTACTGCAAGGTGGCTTGGCATTTTCCATTGTATGCATTTCTGTTGAAGTTGGAGAAGATCCTCTAAATGGGAAATCATTGGTTTGTGAACATTTGCTTTTTTTTTTTAAATA